CCCCCGGGGGGGGGGGGAAATGTGGGCCCCAAACCCCCCTTGGTGGGGACAATATAAAAAAAATGGTGTGGACCCCGGAAGGGGGAATCCAAAATCCCGAGGAGATGGTGGCCCCAGTGGGGGGCCCTTCCTCCTGGTGCCAAGATGGGAAAGACCTTCCCAGGCCGGGGGGGCAAAACAGTTCCGGAAAACGTTGGCACAAACTTCTCTTGCCAGAGGGGAAGACGGAGAACTTCCCCGAGGAGGAGGGGGGCCCAAACCCCCCCTTTTCCTTGGGTCCCCCGCCCGCCTTTTGGCCCCCCCCCCCCCCTCCCCCCCCTCCTGCGCGCTCCCCCATCCGCTGTGTCTCACATCCCCTCCTTCCCTCGCGTCCAGGACCGGCTGATCCTGCAGGCGGTGGCAGAGCACGGGACGAAGTGGGCGCTGATCGTCAAGCTCATCCCCGGCCGGACCGACAACGCCATCAAGAATCGATGGAACTCTGCGACGCGCAAGCTGCTGCGCATGCAGAAGCGCGAGGGGAAAGTGCCACTTTCGGACGCGTCGGGCGACATCACGCGCATGGCCGCGTCGGAGCTCGCGCGCCACCTCCTCACCGCCGGCCTCAACCCTCGCGAGCCACGCGCCAAGCTCGTGGTGAACGTCGGCGAGCACAAGGGCGCCTCTTCCTCTGGGGCGGCGGCGCCGGCGAGCGGGCCAGCCCAAGCGGCAACAGTAGGCACGGTGGTGGCGCCGACGGCGCAGGCGGTGGCTGCCGGCGAGGCGTCTGTACCTTCCTCAGCAATCCAGGTGGGGCCTGTGCTTGCGGCGCCGCCACAGCAGGCACCGCTCGCGACAGAGGCGGAGGGCTTGCGCTTGCACCTCTCCAGCCGCAGCAGCAACACCACCGGCTACAAGGGCGTGATCAAGGACGGCTCGCGCTTCAAGGCGCGGGACTGGCGGGACGGAAAGGCTGTCCATATCGGCAACTTCGACACGGCGGTGGAGGCGGCGGTGGCGTACGCGCGGGCGGTCGCAGAGGAGGCGGCGGCGCCAGCCGGGCCGGCAGCGCCGGCGAGCGGGCCAGCCCAAGCGGCAACAGATGACACCATGGTGGCGCCGCAGGCGGTGGCTGCCGGCGAGGCGTCTGTGCCTTCCTCAGCAATCCAGGTGGGGCCTGTGCCTGCGGCGCCGCCACAGCAGGCACCGCTCGCGGCTGAGGCGGAGGGCTTGCGCTTGCACGTCTCCAGCAGCGGCAACAACAGCACCGGCTACAAGGGCGTGGTTAAGAACGGCTCGCGCTTCAAGGCGCAGGACAAGCGGGCCGGGAAAAATGTCTCCCTCGGCATCTTCAACACGGCGGTCGAGGCGGCGGTGGCGTACGCGCGGGCGGTCGGGGAGGCTCCGGCGGTGGCGACAGAGGCGGAGGGCTTGCGCTTGCACCTCTCCGACTTGAGCAGCACCGGCTACAAGTACGTGTCCAAGGACGGCTCGCGCTTCAAGGCGCAGCACATGCGGGACGGAAAGACTTTCCGCCTAGGAACCTTCGGCACGGCGGTGGAGGCGGCGGTGGCGTACGCGCGGGCGGTCGAGCAGGCTTCTGCCCAGGGGTCGGCTGCGGCCGGCAGCGAGGCGCTCGACTCGGACGAGGGCGAGGGCGAGGACGAGGAGGGCGAGGCCCGCTGCTTGTGGGTCGCCTGCGACCGGTGCGACAGGTGGCGGCGGCTGCCCGCCGAGACGCCCCGCCCACTGCCTGCCGAGTGGTTCTGCTGGATGCACCCGGACCCGGCTCGCCGGCAGTGCGAGGCGCCGGAGGATGAGTGGGAGGAGGATTCGGGGGCGGCGGACGCGGTGGAGGATGGCTTGGAGGAGGGTGCGGCGGCGGCGGCGGCGGAGCCGATGGACGAGGAGGACGAGGCGGCCGGCGAGGCCTACTGGGTGGACGCGGAGGTGGATGAGGAGGCTACGGAGGGGGAGGCTACGGATGAGGAGGCTACGGATGAGGAGGCCGAGGCGGCAGACGGCAACGTGGTGGCGGCGGAGGCGGCGGAGGCGGCGGGGGCGGCGGAGGCGGCGGGGGCGGCGGGGGCGGCGGGGGCGGCGGACGCTCCGCACAAGCGGGTCCGCACGGCGAAGCGTCCATACGAGCCGCCGGAAGGGCCGCCGCCAAAGCACCGTTCGGCTGTTGCGCCCCCAAGCGTCCCTACACGCCGGCTCACCGACGCTGAGCTTGTCGGGCTGCCTGCCGGGCTCTGCGGCCAGTACCAACAGGGCCTCTGCCACAAGGGCGGCAAGTGCAAGTGGAGGCACGAGCTCTGGCCAGGGCTTCAGGAGCGGCTCCGCACGGCGAAGCGCCCGCTCGAGCCGCCGGAAATGCCGCCGCCAAAGCGGCGCTCGGATGCGGCGCGTGGCCCTCCGTCCTCGGCCTCCCTCTCCTCCTCCTCCTCCTCCTCCTCCGCCGCCGCCGCCGAGAGCGCGCCGCCCCACGCGCCCGCCGAGGCCGCGGTCCTGCTCTGCGGCAACACGCACGAGTGCGGCGGCGCCTTTGGCTGCATTCTGCCGGCAGGCCACGTCGGGCCGCACGACTTCACGCTGCCGGCCAAGCGGGCTCGCTGCGAGAAGCGCCCGTTCGACCCGGAGGTCATGGCGGCTGCCGCGCTCGGGTCGCAGGGCAGGCTGCAGTCGCCGGAGCTCGGGGCGGCGGAGGCGGCGCTTCTCGCAAAGCTGCTGGCGGTGGCGGCGCGCTTGAAGGACGAGGGCTCGCCCGAGGCGACGGTGCACGTCGATGGCCAGTGGGTGAGGACGAGCGGCGGGGAGGTGGTCGGTACTTTGGGCTTGCTCTCACTCTCCTTCCTCCTCTCTGCAGGCGGTGCACTGGAGGCCGCGGGCTACTCAGGCCACCTTTGCGGGCGACTACTACGCCTTCCGCCTCGCCGAGCCCGCCCGCCACTACCGCTCGCGTATCGAGCTGATCAAGGCGCTGGAGGCGGGGCTGACATTGTGGGCCCTTGCCGCCTCACTTCTGACCTGTCGTGGTCTTGTTCTGTCAGGCGCTCTCCGACTCGAGCGCTCCGCCCCTCGCGCCGCCCGTGCAGCCCGCGCCGCCGCCCGCGCCGCCCGCGCCACCCGCGCCACCCGCGCCGCCACCCGCGCCGCCCGCCTTCCAGACCGCCGC